CAAACTACTATTTATTTTTCCGGAGAAAAAAAGAAACGAATATAGGGCAATTTTTTTATGCTGTTTATTTTTGTATCTTTTTGTAACTCATTCTTTTTTTGTTGTAGAAAAGAAGAAGAAAAAAAAAAGTCAAAAAATGCTTATAGAATGAATTTTTTTATTTGGTATCGCTATTGTTTTCTAAAGATAAGGTTTTTTTTTCTCTTTTTTTTAGAAACAGCAAAAAAAAATAATTACTGCCATTCAAAACATTAAATATCACAAGCAATTTTTTTTTGCACCCAAACTTTTTTGATTAGTTTTGAACAAAATTTCCTGTTTTATCATTATCAGTGTTACTCCTGCAATAAAAATCTTTTTTTTTTTTTCTTCTAATCAAGTATTTATGTTTGTCGAGAAGAGAAGACAGGTGGCTTGAATGATATTTAATACATGCAACTTTATTTTACAAAAAAAAGTACCTTTAACCTTTTTTTACTTTTAACCTTTATACAGTAAAGTTAAAATACAATTCAATAGCTGAACTAATAGTTTTTTCTTTGGTGGCATTAAGTTTGGTGGCAATATTCGGTTTTTTTACCTGACTATACCTCTGCCGTTAAACACTTAAATTTTTGCTTTACTCAATTCTTTCAAAAATAATGGAAAGACAGAATCAGCTTAGCAACACATAGCTTCTACAAATTTCTGGCTTTTTATTTTCCTCCTCCTCGTCGTCGTCGTTGTCGTTGTCGTTGTCGTTGTCGTTGTCGTTGTCGTCTTCTTCATTTTCTTCCTCTTAAAATATCCTCTAAAGCATATTCAATTTTTTGTTTTTTTTTTTTGTCTATCATCAAAAAAAGATCTGTTTTTTTTTTTTGTTTATTGCATTCAGAAGTATTGACAAAACAACAAAAAAAAAAAAGCAAAAAAAAATTTTTTTTTTTTATCTTTTTTAGGGTGTCGGAATTGCAGCAGTAGTGATGGCTTTTTGGTTGAACGTTTATTATATTGTGGTACTGAGTTGGGCGATGTGCTATTTGTGGCATTCAATTCGATTTGACGACAATGTTCCATGGAAATTTTGCAACAACTCGTAAACACACAGCAAATATTTTTTGTTCTTTGTTCAAATAAAAATTTAATCTTAAAACACGTCAAATCTTTTTTGCTTTTAAAAATTAAGCACCGGAAAAATGATATAAGGCATTTCTAACTATCATTTACCTTTTGAGATGGAAAACAACAAACAAACAAACAAACAAACAAAACATTTTATCATTAACATATGTTGCAAAAAATAACAACTAAGAAGTTGCTTTGTTTTTGTTTTTGTTTCTGTTTCTGTTTCTGTTTTTTTTTTTT